AAATATTTAAAATAAGTATTTGGAGCAGGGAGCAAGACATGCAGAAATGGAAGGAAAGAAAAACTGCTGCATATTAGGCACGTTCAGCATTCAGTGGAAAATGTACTAATAGTTAAAAAGAAAAGAAGGATGAATCATTCCTGATATAGGCTTCCACTTCCAAGCCACAGATAGATAATTCAAAATGCCAAAACCCAGCTTGAAAATTTGGATGATGATTTTAGAAGCATCTTCATGGATAAGAATATGTTTAGTTATGTCACCCCCTCAGAGAACTCAAATGATAAGTGCAGATAGATATTCAGCCAAAACAACTGTTTGGAGGAAAACCCAGAGTGGATAGAAATACTTAGAAGATTCTTAGGAGGAGGAGAAGAACTCTGAAGGCCAATTCCTACTCCCTGAACTGAGCACATACCCAGTGGCTAAAAAATGCCATGCATTCTCAGAGTCAAAAACCCAGGGACAAGAGGATGGAATCTTGGAAGAGGAAATGGCTGACTGCCAGGGAAAATAAGTAGGAGTACTCCAAACTCAGTGGTATCTACATCATTGGTGACAAAATATTTCTGCAGATGGCCATCTCTGCTATTTTAGGATATTAGCCTGGGCAACTGTGTAGGTCCACCATTAAGTTTGTTGAAAAATACATCGTGGGAGGCAGAGACTGTCAGATACAGGGTTGGGAGACACCATTCCCAGCATGTGCCTCTTTATCCTGCTTTATTTAGCTATTAGTATAGGTCAGAAGCTGACCACCTACAGAGGCACTGTGTTGCTAAGGCTATTTCACTGCCATGGCTTCCAATGTTTCAGTCCGTTATTCATTTCACTGGGATGTTGGGACATCAGGGACCAGTTTGCGCCTGGCAGATCTCAGAATCAGGTATAAGAATAACGCGGTAGAAGTTCTCATTGAATTCCATGTCCAGGTAGACATACAAGTGCAAGACAGGTACCCTGCCTTTGACAAATACCCATGACAAAGATGCTCTATTAAGATGATAGCCAAGGGATGCAATGTCAATTTGCTTTATTAAACTCCTTCCAAAGCATCATCTGAACCAAAAGGATTGTCCTGAACTATAGATGGATGGATTATTCTTTCCTTCACTTAGGAGAGTTGTGTACCAGTTGGGCACTGAGTGCTTTTACCCATTTGGAGAGATGTCGTTGCAATGGGCCAAAGAAGAAAAGCAAGTCATAGGAGGTGGGAGGGACAGCCTAAGGTGAACAGGGCAAGCAGTGGAAATGCCAACTCTCCGTGATGTGCATCTGTATGCGGTGCTGGAGATTTCTGACCATTGCACATGCTGTGCTTCTCTTCAGACCACTGTGCTGAATGCATGAAGGTCAGGGATGCAGCCAGTGGGTATCAGCTCAACAGCTCCCCTCTCTCTTCATTCAGCATACACTGCCATGTCCAACCAGAGCTTGCAGGATAGACTGTGTGCTCATGCGCATGTTTGTGGATTTGACAAATCCACCAGGTGGAGCCTGGTGCAGAAGGAATAACCTTTGAATGAAATAATTATAAGTCTAAGAATTTATTTAGAGGAATAATATTGGAAGGCAAACAGTGCTATTTTGCCGTAGAAACGGACTCCTGGTTACATTAAGCTTTTTTCATTGTCGTGGCATAATGTCACAGGTGGAGGAATCATTTTGTTCCTGCTTTAGGTAAACAGTTGTGCATCAGAGAAACAGTTGTGCATCAGAGCTTCCAAGAGCTATGGAGGATTCCCCCAAGAATTATCAACAGACCCAGATTTCCCTTTCGTCCTTCCTCGAAAGAGATTGTTGACCTCAAGCACTGAGCTTGAATTACCCTTGCAGTAAGCATTCAGTGCATATGATTCACTTTTGACCATTTGTCACTGCAAAGCTCAGAGACGGTTTTTGAGGATTTCAGTATGCAGCCTATGGATTCCAAAGTAAAGCCCTCTATAAAATACCAAGTGTCCAATTTGCACAATTGCATGCTATTGCATGCCAGTTGATTAAACGGAGATGCTACGTAGTTTTCCTCTGCACGTGTGCCTTCTCGTGCAATCTGAATCCAACAAGGGTGGCCTTTTAGCTGGTTCTAGGCAATGAACTGCCCAGAAGCCATGGCAATACTTGACCTTTAGACAACAAGAGAAACCATGTGTTGTGAGCCCAGATTCCTCCTTCAAACAGTCAAAAGCCACAGGCTGTTTTCCTTGCAAAACGTTCTCCCAAGCACGAGTACAAATCACACAGAATGGATCTCTGAGCAGGCCCAGAGTGGTTTGTCGAGCCCACTTTAGTGTTTAGCTCCAAGAACTCTCCTTATGAGCATGCCTTAGGCGAGTGGGCAAGCGTGCCTCCGCGCCATGCGCTGCTCATGCAGCCGGACCTCCTGCCTTTGCTAACCCCACTGGCTGTGCATCTTGCCATGCCCAGAATCTGCCTCACTCAGCGAAGCACCTGCTTTTCAGGTAATCACCTTCTCCTCCTCCTGCATCTCAAAATCTAGCCCTGGCCTAGTCCTAGCCCATCCTCTGCCATCTCACTGAGCCATGATTCCCTCTCTGGTTCTGAATCAGTCTCTGGAATGCAGCCGGTAGTCCTTGGGAACCACTGCCCAAGCCCACCATGCCTCTTGCTTGCAGCATCATGGCGGTGCATGTTGGCTCATCAGTCTGGCGCCTATGGGGGCCATAACCCATAGTGCGTTGTGGTGATCATCCAAATCTGGGCACTGTCCATTAAGCCACTCAGTAATGGGATCATCACTTCCCTTAACACTCCATTGCAGCTATTGCTTTTCTCACATTGTGCCCCAAAACTAGGCTTTTGGAAAGAAGCAGCGTGGGGCCAACACTTTTGCTGCTTATCCCTTCCAACAAAAGGAACGAAGACGTTGTGTGAATGTCTCCATTAATGAAGAGTTCCTTCCCCAAGACAGTGCTGGAGAAGTTCTCCTCCTGCAAAGAAATTCAATTAAATTCCCCCATCATACAATTTCTTTGCCCAAAAATAAGGTGGAGAACTTTATGCGGCCATCTGCTCATAGCTCTACTGAAAGAATAACAAAATTAATGATGCACTTAACAAAAATGAATTTAAAAAAAATGAAATGGATGAAGATGTGGTACTATTCAGTTCTACAATAGACCCCTCTGATCCAAAGCCCCATTGAATCTGCACTGAATTTCAAAGGCCGCCTGCAGTTCTTCAAGAAAGTGAGTCCAAAGTCTCTTTGGCCTCATGGAAGTAGCCTCATAATTCTTTGGATCCAGGCTGTGAACACCTGCATTGGTCCCTTTCCTAACCTCACTGGTGTTTGCCAATACCATTGCATAGACATTTGTTCTGCTGTGATGTCGGCTTCTCCTTTTGCATTATCTCATATATTTGCTCACAAATGTTCCTTTGGTTACAAAAATCTCTTTCCCCCCCCTTGGTCCTTTCCCACTCCACCCCTTTGCTCAGTCTTGCTCTGTCTGAGCAGGAAGTAGAGCTAAATAAATATAGATAAATAAATATACCAGACAGCTAAATAAAAGAAAAGAAAATCCAGTTGAGATCTTACTGCTAATGGACATAAGGTAGAGTTCTCACAAACAGAAGTTGAAATAGTTGAGCTGTCTCTGGCCTGACGTGGAAGTAGATGGGACCTAATATTCAACCACATGTCATGTCAATAAATAAACTAATCCCTGTAGTGAAAAAGCCGCATGACAGAAAGAAGTGAGCCTTCTCTACTGCCATCCTAGATTGCTACGTTACGTTACGCTATGCGACGCATACAGAGATGAACAGCCCCTGCTTTGAATGGCTTGGAATAGCCCTTGGTTTGCTTCTTCAAGCACATTTATACAGAGAGCAGAGGTGGACATTGTGAATGAAGGCATGTTTGGTGGCACCTTTAGACATGGTCTTTTACATCGTTCGCCCTTGTAGCCTCCCATGGTGGTCTAACCTGCTCCCCTGATGGGGGCTGCCCCAAAGCAGATGAGAAAGATCAGGAATATAACTCTGTCCCTTGACTTACTATCCTCTCATCAGTTCAGGTTTCACATGTCCAAAGTAAAAGACAGACCAAAGAAACAGGGGCGCGGTACTCAATGTGGATGGCAAAATGAGAGCAGGTGACAAAGAAAAGGCAGAAGTGCTCGATTCCTACTTTGGCTCAGTCTTCTTACAAAAGGTCCATGACCTTGCTGAAGAAGGGGAAGTGCAAGCTGGTGGAGCAGGATGGCAGCTCAAGATTGATAGGCAAATGGTCAAGGATCATCCAATTTGTACACACTTGCCCAACTTTGGAATGGTATCAATTCACACTCCCCAAAATGTGTAAATCCCTCCAAATGCCCAAGTTTCTGAAAAATATATATTTTCACATGTTAACTTATAGGGATATGCACATTTTTGGTCCAGTTGTATAATTATCCTACATTTTTCCAGAGCTAAATGTGTATAGCTCATTGGAATCTGCTGCAGATTTCTCTGACCCCAAATGCTGTTCAAATCAGACTCTCACTGCCTTGCTGGGAAATGGCCACCAGCCTATCAAGGCAATGAATACAACCCCCATTCCCTTACATATGTGTGCTCAGCAAGTGTGGGTGAGCAACTCATGGCCCTCTAGATGTTTTGGCCTACAACTCCCATTAGTCCTTACTATTGGCAATGCCTATGGGCTGATGGGAGTTGTAGGCCAAAAGGTATGGAGGGCCACATATTGCCAGTTCCAGGTACACATGATGCAGAAAGCACAGATCTTCTAAGAAGATCCTTGAATCTTGCCCATATAGAAAGGCTCTTGCTTATCCAGCAAGCCTGAATGGGAGGCCAGTTTCTCAAGGCAGAGAGAGATTGGTGGGTGCTGTTGGATATTTCAGAGAGAAATTTGGCTTCAGAGCGTGAGAAAACATGCACCTAGGTGGCTGGCATGCCTGTTGTATATGTCGCGAGTCCTTCATTTCTTGCATATACGTCAATTCTTCCTTTCTCTTGCAGAAACTGAAAAGATGGCTATTTCCCTTCATGACACACTTGTCCTTGCCGTCTACATCTTCGCCTTCCTGGCTGGCCTCCCTGCAAACCTCCTGGCCTTCTACACCTTCCTGGGGAAAGTGCGCAAGAAGCCAACTCCCATCGACATCCTCTTGTTCAACTTGACTGTGTCCGATGTGATCCTCCTGCTCTTCCTGCCCTTCAAGATGGTGGAGGCAGCTTCGGGCATGGCGTGGCCTCTCCCAGCCTTCCTCTGCCCTCTCACTGGCTTCTGCTATTACAGCAGCATCTACATCAGCACCCTCTTCCTCACGGCGATCAGCGTGGAGCGCTACCTGGGCGTCGCCTATCCCATCAAGTACAAATTGAACCGCAGGCCAGCCTACGCGGTGGCGGCCAGCTTCTTCTTCTGGCTGCTTGCCTGTTCCCACTGCAGCATTGTCTACATTGTCCAGTACCGGATGCCAGGCCTCAATGAGACGAACCAGATGAGCAATTCATCCAATAACTCCAATTGCTACGAAGAGTTCACCGACAATCAACTCGATGTTCTCCTCCCTGTCCGTCTGGAACTCTGCATCACCCTCTTCTTGCTCCCTTTTCTCATCTCCTTCTTTTGTTATGTCAACTTAATCCGCATCCTGACCTCTGCTCCCAACTTCCAAGCCCACAGGAAGCAACGGGCTGTGGGCCTAGCAGTGGTCACTCTGCTCAATTTTGCCATCTGCTTTGCTCCTTACAACATCTCCCATATTGTGGGCTTTATTCAGAATAAGAGCCCTTCCTGGAGAGTCTATGCCCTTCTCCTCAGCACCCTCAATGCCTCCTTAGACCCAGCAATCTTCTACTTCTCCTCCACTGCCATCCAGCAAACGCTGGGGGAGTGCTTCACTGGAGTGGGGAAAAAGCTCCAGGCTTTTATGCCATCATGTTATCAGTTTTGTTTGCCCTGCTATGAGATGGAGGGAGATAATATTGTGGCTGAAAAGTCATCCAACTCTAAAATAGGGGAACTGCCTCTTGAAAGGATTGAGACAGGGAGGTAGCTCCTTGGGTGCCTTGCTTGACCATACCTCGGGTTTTGAGATGAAAGAGGTGGTTCATGTGGGGACTGAAGGATCTTCTCTCTGATGACCACCTTGAGGTCTTTGAATCCTCTGCAACATTTCAGCTATCCTGAATGTGGGGAAATGAGAGCTGTCTGAGGACCTTCTGGAGGCCTTGACATGCTCCACAACATTTCAAGTGACCTCACATGCAGAGCCTGCATGCAGTCTTCCCCACAGCTGAGACTCCTGCACAGTTGGCCTGCACAGTGAGCTCCAAAGCACTAAATAGAGCAGTTTGCCTTTCTTGGGAAGGGGCTGCTCAATGAAGCTGCCATAGAAGCATCAGAGGGGATCTCGCCTTAGTCATCCTCCAGCTGGCCCATTTGTCACAAGTGGGGTATCATGCCGTGCTCTATAGCTGGCATGTTTCCATTTGGCCTTCATCTACAGCACTTGCCACAGAGACAATAGGCAAGGCAGTGGAGGAGTCTTCTTCGGATCTGAGCTCTGCATTGGCCACCAAGAGCTGCTGCTTGGGGCAAGACCTTAATGCCATGCTACTAGGGATAGCACTGGGCCACCCTTTCCATGGGGTGCACCAGGAAATTCAGGGCTAAGACTTCCTGTACCACCAAAGAGCCTGGCATTAGTAGCATACCAACCAAGAGTCTAGTAATTAATTGCAGGGTTATTGGTTCTTAAACAGGTGCCCCTGAGCAATGATTTATAAAGCAAGACAAAACACAAGCCATTGTTGCTGAGCATATGTAGGAGTCTTGCCTGCAGTATCAATGCAGAAACAGGTTTATTGCAGAGACATCAATACATTAACAAACAAACCTTTGATTTCCCATCATAGGTGTTAATTCAAATCCAGGAAAGGTTTATAGGGGTGTTTTTACCCATACTGCCCCACAATTTAATTAATTGTTTATTTGTTGCAGGAGGGAGAAAGATAGCCACCTGTTCCTAATAAATTTTATGGACTTTTCATATCTCCTGAGTGCTGCCTGCAGCAGCTAGAATGCTTTTATTATGGGCAGAGTTGGTCCACTTTTGGAAGGGGATTGCATCTCCCATTAAACAACATCCTAATGGAAAAAAGTAATTGCACATGAGGAAGAGTTTGTGCATTTTTCCTATGTTTTGCATACTACAGTGGCTAAAAGATTGTAGCACGTGGTACCTCTAGCATCTTTATGATGCAGAAGTTGAAGGTCAGACAGAGAATGCTACCCAGCCAAATGCTACCCAGCCTGTAAGACTGCAATGGCTATTAGCTATTGCCAAGTGTCTTGTTTTTACATCTAGTTTTGAAAGCAGCCAGAATTGATGCCCAGGAGGAAATGGAGGTGACCACAAGCTTTTTGACATTTTCAGGTTTAGAGCTTGGTATACCGAGAGATGGGCACACCCCACTGAACATGCTAGGACTTAATCTGGATTAAGCATTAATCTGGATCATCCTTTCTCCCCTCTATCATATTGCATGACTGGAGTGTGTATAATATGCCATGTTAATTTGCAGGTTATGGGGCTTTCAGGACAGAGACAGCTTTTTTCCTTCTCATCCAGAAATGATTTGCCTGCTGTGGACTGTACAGAACAACCTGTCCAATGGATGCATTAATAAATTCACTTATTTATTACCCTAACATAGGTCTGTTTTTTTTTTTTTGAACTAAGCTAGAGGATGAGAAACTCCTGCTTAAGTATCCTTAAATCAAACTCCAACCTTCATACACAGCGTCAAAGAGCTGGAGAAAACCTTGTGGGTTGCCCCGCATTTCCTGGTGTACTGACCTCCAGGCACTTGGACAACTCCCGACATTTGTAGCCATTGGTCGCAGTAGCTGGAGCTGATGGGATGGGAACGCCAAAGCATCTGAAAGGCACCAGGTTGGAGAACTCTGCTTTAGTCCTCACCTTCAGTTGATGGCTACCCAGCCTCTGCTGGAAGTCCTCCAGTGAGGAGGAACATACTAACCACTAATGAGTTTCACTGTCCAACTGCATTCTTTCATAGCAGGGACTCTTACCTGGAGGTGTGTGTGTGGCATCCTTTTGCGGGGTGGGAACCCATTGGATTCCCTGGGCTCTGCTCTGCAGGCTCTGGTCCACTCTGTGGCTGCTGTGAGTCCAAGTTTCCAGCAAGAGCACCTGATCTGGATGAAGCTGAGCCCCAAGGGCTATGCAGGGGTGTCCCGCTCCGGTGCCATTGCGCTGCTGCACCTGACACGGAAGAACGTCGCCAGTCGGGCAGCCTTCATTCTGCAAGCATGCATGGGCTTCCTTCCCGCACTTTGCACGACCAGGCCAAGTGCAAGAGGAAGGCTGCCAATGCCAGAGGGACGGGGCTCCTCCTAACCCTACTCTTACCACGTCCTTTAATGATAATCTATAACAATGAAAGAGGATAATTGTCCATCTGTTTGTCTGTCCATCTGTCACCTCTGAAGCACCAAGTCTGTGAAACGTAGGCATCTGAAAGTTGACGCGAGCCCTAAAAATGTACCTTGGGGTTGTTTTGTTTTTGTTTCTAAATGCATACGTGAGTTTAATTTATTATTATTATTATTATTATTATTATTATTATTATTATTATAACATTTCTATGCCGCCCCTTGCCGAAACCTCGGGGCGGCTTACAACACGATAAAATACATTGAAATACAATAGCACATAATAAATTACCATTAAATATAAAAATACAAAAAATACATTGATTTACAAATATAAGATTAAAATTATCAGTATAAATTAAGTAAATAAAAATATAGGAGGAGAAAGAGAAGGAAGAAGAAGTTGCCCAGGCCAGATCATATGTTTTAACAATTAAAATGATGTTTAAATAAAAAGGTCTTTACCTGGCGCTGAAAAACCAGTAACGACGGTGCCAGGCCGACCTCTTTGGGGAGTGAATTCCATAGGTTGGGTGCCACCACAGAGAAAGCCCTCCTCCGAGTACTTACTCTCCTAATTTCTTTCATGGAGGGTTCCTGGAGAAGGGACTCTCCTGCAGATCTCAAAGGGTGGTCGGGCATATACGGACGTAAGTGCTCGTTCAGGTAGCCAGGACCCAAGCCTTTTAGGGTTTTATAGGTCATAATCAACACCTTGAATTGGGCCCGGGCTTCAATGGGATGCATTTTTGTATTTTGTGGGATGCATAATTGTATGCATTTTTTATTCATTTTTAAATGTATGCTACTGAAGCCTGCAACACATCCTCAGCTGCTTCCCTCACTGCCTTGTATCTCTACAGTCCATCCTCTTTGAAGCTAGGGGATCTGTGGCCACTGTTATAGACCTGCCCCTCCCCATGCTGTAAGGTGTCTCCCTTGGGAAATGGAGTCCCTTAAGGTGCCCCCCCCCCTTGGTAGGGACTGTACCTGGCATTGTCAGGGAGAACAAGTGCCCCTTCGTAGGGGGTTTGGTTCACTCCATTGGGCTGGGCACACTATATTGAACTCTCTGGAAGCTACACAGGTCTGCTTTCACAAGTTTAACTCTGTCTGGCAGAGGGCTTTTGGTAGGCAAAAGAACACAGTTCTATGCTTCTTCCCACCCTCCTGATGTGAGGATCCCCACTTGGGGAAATCGAATGGGCAGGGCTGCACTCTGGCAGGAGCTGTGCCAACAGGCATGTCTTCACTCAAATGGAGTGGGCAAAATATGTGCAATTCTTCGTCTGTTAAAGTTTGCTTACAACCTTCGCTGTATCAATGTAAGGGCTTCTTAATGGGTGTTGAGCCTCAGGCCCATGACCAGCCAGCATGGGCTCCTAATCTGGCCTTTAGGGCTCTCTAAATCCAGGAAGGGCTCATCCATTGCAGAGTAGTTTTATAAGAGCGAACCATGCTGCTGCCAAAATGGGTTCAGCACCATGGACAGCCCCCAGGAACCTAATGAGAGGAAAGCTTGCCTGGCTGCCACAAGGATTTGAGGGAGAAAAGGCACAGGCACGGTTCCAAAGACAGAGCTTTGTGTTTCCAAATGAAGAAGTGACTGAGTTCACATGATCTCCATGGAAGTCAAATGCCTGGGGGCACCAAGTTGCCTATTTAAGGTTGCACCCACAGCTTGTTATATCCTGTGGACCAGATGAGGGTGAGTTGCTGGGGTGGTTGACAGCAAACCACCCCAAAACTTCCAGCAGCCTAAGGAGTCTGCACTGGTCGGTTTGCTAACTGCACGAACAGCCTATTCCTTCCAGGTTGGCCAAACATAACTAGCCAGGCTGGGGCTGCAATATTCAAAAGGTCTGCCGTGCATGCATGCTGCCAAGCCTCGGGGTGGAGCGGGGCTAAGTATTGCATGGTGGCTTGGTGTGATGTGCAACAGGCCAGCTCAGCCAAAGCCACTAACTCCAGCAAACTAAGCTGGGATAGAATTTTTATTAATGGCAATAACTTCAAAGAAACAGAGGGCAATAATGGGTGACAGGTAGGTAAATATGCACACATGCATACACCTAAACATGTGCATGGGCAGTTATGAGATACTGGGGAAACAATATTAACAGAGGGTTAATCAATAACCATATAAGCCACAGATATCGCACTTGTGTGTGTGTGAGAGAGAGACAGAGTCAAAGAGCCATAGAATCACAGAATAGTAGAGTTGGAGGGGGCCAGAAGGCCATCAGGTCCAACCCCCCCGCTGTTGCAGGACACCACGTTACACCACCCCACTCAGATGGCCGTCCAGATACTTTTCGAATCTCTTCAGTGAGGGAAACCCACAACTGCCCTAGGTAATAGGTTCCATTGCCATACTGCTCTGACAGCGAGGAAATTCTTCCTGGTGTCCAGTCTGGTTTCTTCTTCCATTAGTCCATTATTCTGTGTCCTTAGCTCTGGAATGGATGAGAGAAGAGAAAATCTTGTCCTTCCTGTTTGGTACAGCCATTCAGGTGCTTGTAGTGTGTGATCACATCACCCCTCAACCTTCTCTTCTTGAGGCTGAACATGCCTAAAATCAACCAGCTCATTCTT